AGCCATTCAATTTTTTTTGTAAAACTACTTGAGTTCATTTTCTCTATTTTATATATTAATTTAAATAAATTTTTTTTTGATGAAATATAAAAATATCATTATGGTAAGTTTATCATATAACATTCAATGGACTTTTGAAATATGATTTTACTAAACAGTTATGTCTATATATATAACTATATATGTTTATATATATATTTCATTTATTGTTTACCAATTCATCCTTCATCGAATGTACCAATTAACTTAGTTAATTAAAACTTTAAAGTTTTGGATTTTAATATCGTCTTTATCATTTTGCATTTGAACCTAAAAAAAAAGATTAATATGTCTGATTTATTAATTTTATTGTGTTTGAATCATTCACTGCTTCTCACCCAAACTTAGCACGCCGAATACTATCTTTAATCATGATCAAATCCTATAAGTTAATTAACATGTTCATCACATTGAGTCTAAACCACTCGTACAAGTGTTATGAGATATATTCAATGGATTATGGTTTCACGAGGCCCGGACTCAATTTCCGTTCGTGAGAGCCATCACGGCGGCGGCGGCGGCGGCGGCGGCGGCGGCCGAGGTACGGTGGCCGCGAAGAGGTCGAGGAAAGCCTGGCATGGGGCTCAGTCTTAATGGGCCACATAAAACTCTAGAGAGAGAACATTGGGCTTCAAAAGAGATATACTATATGATAACAATCATAACAATTAATCCTGACTTTAATTCCAGCTTATGATGGTCTTTTGTCTAATCATTTGCCATATTTTTCTGCAGTAAACCTAATTAATATTTCTGCAATTGAGGTAGCAAGATGACTTGGTACAGTTGTTGCCTGGTCTTTTTCTTTCGAGTTCTGGAAGACTGGATTTGGCAGGTGAAATGGACTCCATCTTTATCTGAGGATTCTGAGCTGATGGAATTGACCACACTCAACATCAAAATCTCATATCTCGATCATAATGATTAATATCCACAGAGAATTATGGAACCGATCACACTATTTGATATCGAAATTTATATTAGATGGTGCAGATTCAATGATCCGATTGGTTACCGACATCAACAATATATCTCGGGTCTTCACCCATGCTAATCTTCCAAGATAACAAGTGTTTTCTTACTTGAAGAGATATATATATATATATATATATTGTTGCCGTCCATTTTAATCCTATCAACTGCTCCAAACTGTGACCTATGATGTTCAGATATTGCATGATTTGATGATGGGAAGGTGTTTTGGTTGAATATGGCACCAAAGCAGTGGTTGTCGTCATGGTGCCAATCTCCGTGTGTTGATGAGCACAGTGAAACTTTGAACACTGTCGATGAGGTTGCCATGTTGATTGATCATTCAGTGTCCCAACTAAGATCTCGAGAGAGGAAGGGTTCCATCTCATCCATGATTCAGCAGCTTTAAACACTCCTCCATGGAATCATGCTAATGCAAACACGAGGAGATGAGTACCGAGTACAGGCTCCATGAAAGCTCTACTGTTGATGAAGTTGCCAAGCTGATCAATATCCAGAGCAGCTGAGTACGAGACCTCGTAAGCTACCGTGGCCCTCGAAGCTCCCAACACTGTCGAGCTGATCGATATCCAGAGCTCATGGGTACAGTTCATTTGAAAGCTCTGGTACGTAGCCCCATGATGGCTTGACATCTGGAAGCTATGACCGCCCTAGGGTTTACATCCATGCACCTGCATGCTCCCAAGGCCAAATAAATGATGCGCAAGAGACATCATAACTACTGGCGATGGAAAGATACATGAATCGAAAGTGATGATAAGTTTCTTTTCTTCTTCTGTTCGGGTCCTCATGGTGAAAACTGATGCTGTGCAGGAGAAGGGAAACAGCGTGGTTGACCAGAAAAGGGAGGAAGAGGAGAAGATTTGAGTGCAGTGCGTGAGAATCTCGTTTCATGTACTTGATTCCTGCATCTTCTTTTCTTCTGGCATGCTGACAACTTGAAGGAGATATGCATCTATTTATTGGTACTATTTTAATGCCTGCCGACATTATTGAATTGCGAGGAGGGGGAGAGGGGTCCATGGCATCTGTCAAAGAGAAGCTGAGTGGTCATAATCCAAATCGATCTCTTCCTTTCAGCAAACAATGCACCAAAATAATTGATGTCAGAATGTCAATCAGCCCATGAACAAGCATGTAGAACAGCAGCATGCTTGAATGGAGCGTGGGGCATAAGGAGGCGGAAGGGTGGCAAATGGGCATGGAGAGGGCACGATGGCCGACATGCATGGAGAAGGTCAGCGAAAGGATAAGAAGCACAAGGAGCTCATGTCCCACCATATATCATCAACGATTCAACCAGCATTTAGATGATCTTGGAGATGAGGAAACAGTTCGCATCATCATAATGGTTAATAGGGAAAAAGACAACTCCATATGTCGAGTTTTTGGCTTTTTCTCAGGTATTTTGCATAACCCCTCCTCCTCCTCCTTCTCTCTCTCTCTCTCTCTCTCTCTCTCTCTCTCTCTATGTGAATTAGTCAAGTTGGGAACGCAATGGCAATACAAAACTATGATTACAAGAACAACCATAGATTAGAATATTTGAGTCAATTATGTGGGAGCGTAAAATGGAGAACAGGTGTTCTTCATATTTCTAAGTTTGTTCGTGTCATCGATCAATCAAACACCCTCCTAAGTCTGCTTGAACATGTTCTAGCACATGATTCCTTCCATAAAGAAAAAGCTTGAAGATGCATAGTCTGTTTTGCTCTGCTCTGCTCTGTATCAATCTGTGGTTTACATAACACAAATCTTGTATTATACTGTACTACATATTCATGCTGACAACAGACATATATAACCTTTCGACAATATATAACAACATCTCGCTATCTCGTCCCTCGTCTTCCTTTCTTTTCCTTCCCCTTAACCTTATTCACTTCTACAACAGTTGTATAGACTGCGAACAGAGACGACACCACCTTAAACGCTAGAGAGGCCACTGTGATCACGATGCGCGAATCTTTAGACCAACGTGGAGCACTGGGACGTGACGGGGTCCCACATGGCGGGCAGCAGGTACTTCCTCCCTCCGAGTCCCCTCGCGTTATAGCTGGCCCCGCTCGTGGGGTCCACCAGGACCTTGCCCGGGTACCCCGGGTACGCCCCGCTGCCGAACACCCCCGTGCACGCCGTCACCGCCTCCAGCGGCGCGTCCGCCGGCCCCTGGAAGTAGCCGTCGCCGTTGGGGTTGGTTGCCGCGCCCGCCAGCAGCGTCGCCAGGTTGATGACGACGCCGTCCATCCCCACGTCGCCGCTGGGCGCCACCAGCGGCGGCGCCTGCGGCCCGTAGATCGGCTGGTGGAATGGCCACGCGCACTGGCCCGGGCACTGCCTCGCCGAGTCGCCCACCCAGACGAACCCGGCGGAGCCCGCGAGCCGCCCGTGCGTCCCGCACCGGCTGGAGCAGAATCCCTCGACCGCCACGTCGCCGTCGGTGACGACCACCCCAATGGCCCGGTGGCCGCCCCCGGCCGCCGCCTTTCCGGCCAGCGCGGCCATGTCGGAGGAGGATAACAGCTTCCCCTTGGAGTAGGACTCGTCCATCAGCTGCGGGCCGAGAGAGAGGTGCACGTCGCCGCCGGCGTAGCTGGCGGTGGTGCGCCACCAGGAGGCGACGGAGGGAGGCGGGAGGGAGGCCCCGGTGGGGGTGAGGGAGCGAACGAAGTCGACGACGATGGAACGCTGGGCGGCAGAGAAACGGCCGTAGAAGAGCAGGCTCAGGGTGTAGTTACCCCTAAGGAGCGGGCCATTGTGGTACTTGAGGACGAGGGGTGGCTGCTGCACCAGGACAAGCTTCCTGGGGGCAGCTGCGAAGGAGTAGGAGCAGAGCAGGAGTGAGCACAAGAGAAGCAGAGTGGAAGAAGTGGCCATTCTATCCATCCACTCGGGCGATGTTTATTGGTTGTACCGTGAGCCAATGGAGCGAGGAAGAGAGGAGCAATGAGGGAGATATATATAGCGGTGGGGAGTAAGGAAGCTGGGAGGTGGTGTGCATGAGTGGCCTTGGATGCAGCAGCTTCGCAAGGTGGGACCGGGCGAAGTAAACCGGAAGCAGCCAAATGATTGCCGGGGTTGGTGGACTTTGACTGATGCCGTGCGCAGCTTTGCTTACCCTCCAACCAAAAACAAGTGGAAAGTAATTTACGACCCAATGGAATTGCCGTGTGGACGTGAACGCCATGCACGTATGTCGAACACCTTTTAATTATCAGTATTGCAAGTCAATTTATATCATTATTTCCCGAGAAAAAGGTGAAAAATATTCCAAAGTAACCAAAGAAACGGGGACAATTGTGGCTCATGGGACCAAGGACCGCGTGTGATTAACACGTGACAGATGTGACGTGAGGAATGAAAACAAAAAAGATGGTACACAACAAGGAACACCATGGACCAATTTATATTGAGATATAAACGAAGGAATCATGTCCACTCAAGTCCTTCCATGCATTTGTATTCATAATGTATCGTGATATATAGTGCGAAATGTAGCATCAATCTATTTAGGATGTCGGCTTGAATGATTGAGCAAGTGAGGACGACTGCTTGAACCCATGAAGCTGGTTCAGTGAACCAGCAGATATGAAGTCAATTATATTATTGTTATTTGCAATTTAAACTAAAATACATATGTCATGTTACATTCTTTTATGGTACAGGAATACTGCCGGATCATATAGCAGGAGTAAAGTTGACCATTGACTGCCGGCAAGTAAGACCGTGGTCAACAGTGGGTACCACTTCATGAATTGGTACGTAACGTGTCCACGACGATACCAATTTGGCAAGTAGAATAATAGGATTTAATATTTTATTTTTGTAAATATAGATATCTTAATTTAACTTTTGAAGGTATAAAGATCGTGATGTTAAGAATAATTAATTATAAATATAATATATAATTAATCTTGTAAAACAAATCATCTTTTTACATAACCTACAAAATGGCAGTATAATGGAAGTCGAATGATCGATACCGGTCGCCTCGAGAAACTTGAGATCGTATTCCACCACGGTCAGCTTTTCTCTGGATCAAACCCTAACCCTCTGTCTCGCCGGGGGACTCCTCATGGCAGTGAGGAGTTGGCCTTGGTTTTGGTGGAGGATGGGATCGGGAGGTCGTGAATGGAGAAGGCCAGACGGTGGATTTGATCTAGTTGGGGGCTTGGTGGAGGATCTCTTTGCTGAGGAGCTGAGGCAGAGAATGGCTGGACCGACGATGGAAGAGCAGCTTCCGGGCTTAATGAACGGATTGGAAGAGCAATGGGGAAGCCGGAGGAGAAGGATGACTCTGGATGATTCCGAGTTGGGCGATCGCTTGCCAAAGGGATGGAAACTGCTTCTTGGCCTCGAGGGGAAGGTGAAGTATTGTCGGTGCTACATCAGGTTTGCCTCCTTGCTTTTCCCTTCTTTGCTGGTTCACTGTTGAAAAATGAAGGTGAATGATTTGAATTGGTTGTTGCGGAACATACTTATCTTTGTTTAGATCTATTGTAACATTAAGTTGCGATGCCACTGGATGATGCCCTTATCCATCCCATTTTGCAAGAATATCGCATATGCATGCACATATTTGTATGTTTGTTAATGTGCTCGGTGCCATTTTTCCTCGGATGATCTTTGTTTTGTGGCCTGAATGAGGTTGTAGAGACATGAACAAACTTGAAAATGTTTGAACATCTTCATAGGGCGTAAGGGCAATGAAGACTGGAAGAGACACTTTGATAACTTGTGATGTTCGCCCACATGACAAAGTTGAAAATTGATCATTGCAGCAGCTACAGTGTGGCATGTTCTTAATATTGATGACAAATTTGCTGGGCTTGTTTGTGTACGATGACCCAAAAAGCTGATATATTTCAGAGGGTCGAAAAATGGATCAGCCCTTTCAACATTAAAAGTGTCAAGTTCTTTTGTAGTTCCCTGTTCCGGGAATTTGATCGGTCTGAAATTGGCCAATACCCATGGGATCGACTTAGATCAGTCCATCTGTTTTACTTCCTTCTCTCTCTGACTCTGGTTTGCTATCTGCTGTATTAGCTGTTTGGGGAATCATATTGTTCTGGATTGGCCAATACCCATGGGGTCAACTTACATCACTCCATTTTTCTCCTCTCTCTTTTTGCCCCTGTTTTTCTATCTTCTATATATAAACAGATGCAAAGGCGATGAACCACTCATCACACACATCACGTTCAACACAAAGAATTGGAAAAGAACAAAAACAGGAGATGAGGAGAGGCAAAGAGGAACCCTAGCTAAAAAAATGTATCCTGTTTTATGGACAAAATGTAGACTCAAAGCAACACAGTAAATTTTCTTTTTTCAGCAACACAGTAAAGTTATAATACTGATTTTGATTGAGTTTTCTTCACTTCCCTTCATGTTCCTTATGTCTGTGAAATTTAGCATTTTCTATTGTGTTAATTAATTTGGAGAGGGGCCACACAGTGTCCTGCTAAAAGACTGTTTTTGCAGCAGTCAGTGGTGTTGATTAGAAGCAGAAAAGATATCTGGTCTTGATGAGCTGACATTGGATGTTTAAATTTGTTCACTTGGATGGTCAAGATTCTCTGTGCCCAAGCCACCCATTGGATTGTGTTATGTGATAGATCTAAGCAATGTGGGTTGCTCCTCTGTTCAGTTAGTGTGGGATATCTCTTTGCAGAACAATGCATAGGAACTGACATCTATTTGTGTGTGGTACATAGAGAGTTCAGCCATGTAGCTGCTGATACTGAAGAAGAATCTGATATATTTTGCTTCATTTATCCTGCATGCACATCTCAAGGTACTAAGCAATAAATCATCTCATTAAATACTGACTTGCCTCATGTTCATGCAAGTTTTTTGAAAAAATTGTCTTTTAACTAACCACTGTTGATGGATTATGTTTCCAGAAGCACTGTCCTCGTAAGTTCTTGACTGATATTTTCTTGTGCAAGTTCCCTGTCCATTTTTTTTAATGATTATGGTCAGCAATCCAACATGGGTAACCATATTATAATGTATTTGTGCTCCATGATGAAAGTGTATTAATTGAGTATTTAGTTTGTTAGTTATTCATTTAAAAATAGCTAAAGCCAAAATTTGTCCTGAATTGGGTCCGGTTTTATGCCGGTTGATATTACAGGATCAGTTGCTCATTGTTTCTCCTTTATTGTGCAGTGGTGCAACTCTTACAAAGGAGTACTCATGTGGTCTGTAATAGTAATAGTTCTTCAATCTGGATGAAACCTTTGTTGTCTGTTTTTCATGGACGTGCCAGTGAGATAAATATAATGAGAAGTATTTTATCTACTGTATTATATCTCAGGCTTTAGCTAAGAAACTTGAACATGTTGTTGACCTTCTTGTTTCTCAACAACTAAAGATATAGATAACTTTATTATTTGCTTGTGATGTAATGTTATGGGATCTTTTGTATCTGTTGGGTAACCATGTTTATCAAATAACCATGGTACTTCCCTTAGGCACACTTTTGATTGCACTATTCAAGAGATCTGAATTATTTTCATGTGTATATTAACTACCGAATATTTATGATCGGCTGTGTTATTATATATTTTTGCCTTAATTTCCTTCTTTTCAATCTTAGTTCGATCATGATGTCTGCTTCCATAATTTTGTTTTGCGAGGATCCATAAGCTATTTGATGAAAGTTCATTTCTCTGATTCTCTTTTTTTTGTCCTCTGATTTACCCATGTGCCTCCATAATCCCAGATAATCTTGATCAAATTTTTATCTGATTCATGGGAGGCCAATACCAATGATGGGAGTTTTGCTGATAGCACTTTTTTATACATGGAGGTGTCTCATTAGTTGCTCACTACACATTGTCACTTCTCTCTTTTCGTTTCATGTTTATGTTGACAATTTCTTCCAAAAAATATGTTTATCTTCTGTTTTATGCTTATTTCATTTTTCTGCGAATTCTCATATTTGATACATCAAATATCAGCCCTTAACTTCTGTCTTTGTGTGAGTTGATTCTTGTGGCACTGAGTTTACATATTATAGGTTAATATGGTTTATTAGTCGCTTCAGACATTCCTTTGTCTTTCTGTAAATGAGTTTTTGTTGAGAACTTTCATTATAAACCTAGACTGTATCATTTTGGGTTATGGTTCTCTGTTTCTCTTCATGCCTTGAGAACTTGAGAAAGATTATAATCAGTTTCCCTGTGGACAATAATTTTGCTGGTGTTTTGTTGTATCCTGTGTTGTCCAAGAGTATAGGAAATTATAGTTTGCACAATTTGGAAGTGAAGCTTCTTTCACCTGAACTATGTAGTTTAAGCAGCATGCATAGGGTCATCAATTTTGGTCTCTAGCTCACATGTTACTTCTTCCACTGGGCTAATTTGACATTGGAACTAACAAGATGTCATAATGCATATGTATCTTGGTTTATAATTTTGTAGCTTTCTGCACACCAGATTTGTCTATGATCTTAAAAGGACATACTTCACTGCTACATGTCTGACTCTGTAGGTCATTCACTAGTAATGGGCTCAAGAAAATTTTTCACGGAAGTAACCAATCCTGAGGAAGGCATACAAAGAAAATGGTATGTTCTTGTGGCAAAGTTGCTATAGAAATTGCTTCAGCAAGGTATGTATCTGGCAGTCGAAAGGTGCTTCGTGCTGAGATATTTTTCCTTTTTTTTTTTTTCCTGAAAATGCATATATTTGATATCTGTAGATCAGTTGAACATGATTTATGATGTTTAAGACAATTAGAAATAAATATTGCATGTTTTTTACATATTAAAGTAAACATTTTAAACTGTATAAAGTATATTTTGAATTGATCAATTTTGTTACAAGTTTTAAAATAAGTTGCATCATTTCATATGTTCATTCGACGACAACAACAAAGTTATAAAGACCCAACTACAAAGATGTAAAGAGTCATATCCTTAGTGGTGTTTAAATGCTTGATAGTTTGATCAATATCATTTATTTTGATGCTACAATCATGGTTCCTTAAGAAACAATTTTATGTATAAAAGCTTTATGATGCTATTCATTCTCTGATAGTTCCATGAACATACAAAACATGTCTAAACTATATGAATTTTTTTCATTGAATATCTTGAATCCTGATCATGCTTACAATGTTCATCTTCGGTTTAGACCCTTTTTGATATGTTAGGTGATAAAATTGACTGAATGCTTAATCCTTGTGACAGGATTACATCTCAATTCTCTTTTCTAACTTTTGCAAGTGCTGATCAATTGTCACGAGATGTTTTATTTACTAAATGTTTTTTCCTTCAATTTTGCTGGATGGTGAGGAGTAAGAAGAGATTTATCTAGCGAACAGAAAAATCATTTTATGAATTCATTCATCAAGTCTCATAACTTGCATGAAACAAAATATTCTGGAACACGACAGATCTGGACCCCACAACCAAATTTTGCAATAAGGGCAAAAAGAGTGCATACTATATTCTTCATAGCAATAAAATGGAACAACCAGTAGTCAAATTCCATCTGAAATGCTACATATTACAGGTAAGCTATGATACTAGGAAACAATGTAACTTTAGAATCGCCATCATCTATATGAATAAGCTGCATATCGATCCAACATAGGAATTTTATTTTGATGTAAATCATAAGTTCGTTCATCCACAAATGAGCATAATTTGTGGTCCTGGCTGACAAGTTGCTGTGGTGCCAAACTTCAACCACAAGCATATTTTTGTCCTGTGGAGACTGCTGTTGTCTGGCAAACAATTTTCCTTGTAAAAAAAAAATCCTGTTCCTATAAATTGTGTTGTTTCTTTCTGCCGCTTTGCATATTGTTCACAACCTCTTTTCAAAAAAAAAAAAAACCCTTGGCGACACCATATCTTACATGACTGAAATACTACAATCCTGATATTGTTCCATCAAATTTGTTAATTTCTTCACAGTTTGTTAAGCCTGACATTATTATGGTTTTGCAGAAAGGTAGGTTTGGCATGTCAGATTTGCAGCTCCAGAATGATTTGGAACAAGTGATTGTGATTTTAACTGCAAGTAGAAAAGATAAATCTAAACAGGTTTGCCGAAAAGCTTAGATTCATCTAGACCTTACCTCTTATTGCCATCAATATGGTTTTGCAGAAAGGTAGGTTTGGCATGTAAGGTCTGCAGCTACAAGAGGATTTGGATCAAGAAGTGATTGTGATTTTAACTGCAAGTAGAAAAGATAAATCTAAACAGGTTTGCTGAAAAGCATAGATTCATCTTAGCCCTGATCTCTAATTGTCACTCACATGGTTTTGCAGAAAGGTAGGTTTGGCATGTCAGATATGCAGCTACAAGAGGCTTTGGAACAAGAAGTGATTATGGTTTGAACTGCAACTAGGAAAAGATAAGTCTAAACAGTCTTGCTGAAAAGCTTAGATTCATCTAGACCTTATCTCTTATTGTCATTGAGATAACTATGACATCCACATCCAGATAGTGAGATTTCAACTGATACGTGTTCCAGAACGCACTGCTGAATCAAAACTAGCTTTGTTCCTCTCAATCTTGGCAGCTTTGCTCCCTTCCCCCAGCTTTCAGCATCATGCACGAATCCTTTTTTTTTTTTTCTTTCTTTTCTTTTTTGTTCTTTTGAGTCAAAACATGGGGACATCAAGCTATTGACTTGGTATGGCCTGACATCATATCCAATCAACTAGGAAAATTAGGGTGGGAACAACATTAGTCTTTACAAGCATCTTCATTATCCACATGACATCTATAACAATGACATGATCCGAATCTGAAGGTGTTTATATGTTCACAAGGGAAATTTCCATCTCTAAGGTTACAGTGGTCTGTTCCTTCACATGATACCCTCCATTTAGAAAAAAAAAAATTTTGATCAGTGTGTTATTTCGAATGTCAAGCCTGTTTATAAGTCTTTGTTAGCCGAAGGAAACTCTTGTATATATATATATATATATATATATATATATATATATAGAGAGAGAGAGAGAGAGAGAGAGAGAGAGAGAGAGAGAGAGAGAGAGAGAGAGAGAGATTAGTCGTGTTCAAAAGTAGAAAAAGAGGAATATGAAAAGATTATTCGAGTGGTGGCAGGGGAATGCACAACGCAATCCACACGTACACATCGAAGGTCCCAACACAGGCGAATGAGGAGAAGATAAGAGTCACGAATAGCTGCTGACAACTCACGAACGAGTACGTGGGCATCCACGGGGTAGTAAGGAGGCCCTCTCACCGGAGCCCAAGTCGTGCGTCGTCGAGTCGAGTGACGGAGTACTTCTCCAAGTATAGCACGCAGAGCTGGTATTTACGAAATGTATTTATTAGCACGTGTAAAATAATTCATTTATAGGATATAAATCATTAGCACGTGTAAAATAAAGCAACGATTGGGCGAAGAGAAATCAGTACTAATTTAGTTCGGAATGGGAAATAGAAAAAGAAGCAGAGGAAAATCCAGTACCATTCATCTCAATCCCCACATCCATTTGCGCAAGCCATGGCTGTCCCCCACCAGAAAAAGAGAGACGCCAAAGGGGCCAAAACCAATTCCCACAACCCACCAGCCATAGGCTGCAGCTTTCCCCTCATCTCCAGTTTGATTCATGGTGGCATAAGCTAATCTAAATCTTCTCCCATTATACTGTGATTTGTAGTAGCAGGAAAAGAGAGAGAGAGAGAGAAAGAGGGATTGATGCCTGGTGGCCGCGGCGGCAGCAGCAGCAACAACAGCAGCAGCAACCAAACTAGCGTAGTATGGTTCAGAAGGGACTTGAGGGTGGAGGACAACCCAGCCCTGGCTGCTGGGGTGAGGGCAGGGGCGGTGGTGGCCCTGTACATATGGGCTCCTGAGGAGGAGGGGTCTTTCTACCCTGGGAGGGTGTCCAGGTGGTGGCTCAGCCAGAGCCTCCACCACCTTGACTCCTCCCTCAGGAGCCTGGGCACCCCCCTCATCACCAAGAGGTCACTGGATACGGCTTCCACCCTCCTTGAGGTCGTTCGCTCCACTGCTGCCACCAGCCTCTTCTTCAACCACCTCTATGGTCAGTCTCTCTTGTAGCTACTGCCTTTTTGTTAAAGGCTGTTAATTTTGTTGTTATCGTAAAAGCTAGATCTGTGAGATATCCTTCCATGTGTGGTTGATCCTTGTTTGTAGCTTCTTTTCATTTTTTTTGTATTAACTTTACTTTCTCCTTGATATATTTTTATGTTTTTTTTCCAATCATTATATTGATCTTGGCGTTCTTTGTTCAATCAGTTGATGCCATTTACTTCTCCCCTTTCTGATATATTATGGTCTCGATTAATGATAGTTTTCTTTTTCTGATTTCTATCAGATTCCTATCGTATTATTATTTTTTAATTTCCTATCACTGATAAAATCTGTGTGACAGATTATAACAGTCTTTAGCTACTTATTTGTTTCACTAATTAAAGCTAAGAAATGGTTGTAATTCATTCCTGCTATTTGATTGTCGAGTTCCTTTTATAATCAGGTTTAATCTCGTGCCTATTATTTGTATCCTTCTATCGGTCAATATTCTAAATTTTTTGAGCAAAATTCAGATGCATATTGTGATTTTATGGATTGCCATTTGTAATCTAAAGGCTACAGATCTTCAATTTGATGCACGCTTGGATTATCCATCAAGATTTAGCCAATTATGAGGTTGGATCATTTAAAGTGTGTTCAATTTGTTGTATACTTTCTTTCTTCGTCATGACTGAATTGTCTCTAGTATCTCATGATTGAATAGTGGTGCTACGATTTTGCAAGCACAGGGTCATTCATGTTCAAGATTTTCTCGTATTGATTTATATATATAAATTTTGCAAAAAAAAAAATATCTCTGAATAATTGGAAACAAGTTTTTCATCACTTTAGCCTCCATATATTATCTAGCTTGTTGTATGCAGGTATCACTGAACTATCCTGATTCCTGACAATTTGACTTGAAATAGTTCTTTAGATCCATTTATCCCTTTGTTCTTGCAGATCCTCTCTCTCTTGTTAGGGATCATGGGCTGAAGGAACTTCTGACTGCTCAAGGCATAAGAGTTTGCTCGTTCAATGCGGATTTGCTCTATGAACCATGGGAAGTCAATGATGAAAATGGTCAACCATTTACAACTTTTGCTCCTTTCTGGAATAGATGCCTCAGCATGCCTTATGATCCAGCTGCACCTTTGTTGCCGCCGAAAAGAGTAGTACCAGGTGCTTTAGATTTATGAAGTTCAGCATTTATTCTTTAATTTCCATGGTACAAATTCTTGCAGTCTAACCACTCATGTATTTCAGGGTACGGTCATCAGATTTCAACATTTCCTAGTGTTATTTATGCCTCTTGTTAGTCAATCTTTCCCAGGGCTAGCTGAGGATATGGGTAGTTGGTAGTTATTGGCAATGTTACTCAAGAGTAGCACTTGTCCTTTTAGATAAATCAATTCAATTGCCAGTCTGCTTACAAAAAATTTAGAAGCATTGAAATTGAATTCCTTGATCCGACCTTATAAAATTTCTTTTCTCCCAAAGGTTGATTTTTGATATCATCGGTTAACTTAATTCAGTTATTGTTGCTTCCTCATGTCTTTGATTTTGGTTCTATCAGGCGATGTATCAGGATGCCCTTCAGATATTCTGGTCTTTGAGGATGAGTCTGAGAAGGGAAGCAATGCCCTTCTTGCTCGAGCGTGGTCACCAGGATGGCGTAATGCTGACAAGTCTCTGACTTCCTTCATTAATGGACCTTTGATTGAGTACTCTGTGAATCGAAGGAAAGCAGATAGTGCATCTACATCACTACTTTCACCTCATTTGCATTTTGGGGAGCTAAGTGTCCGCAAAGTCTTCCATCTTGTTCGTATGAAGCAGCTTGTGTGGACCAATGAGGGGAATAAAGCAGCCGAAGAGAGCTGTGATTTGTTCCTTAAATCTATTGGTCTTCGGGAGTACTCTAGATACTTGAGTTTCAACCACCCTTACAGTCATGAGAAACCTCTCTTGGTCCACCTTAGGTTCTTTCCTTGGGTGATCGATGAAGATTATTTCAAAGCTTGGAGACAAGGTAGAACGGGTTATCCTCTCGTAGATGCTGGCATGAGAGAGCTTTGGGCCACTGGCTGGCTGCATGATCGAATACGTGTGGTTGTGGCCAGCTTCTTTGTGAAGGTCTTGCAACTTCCTTGGAGGTGGGGAATGAAGTACTTTTGGGACACTTTATTAGATGCCGATCTTGAAAGTGATGCCCTGGGTTGGCAGTACATATCCGGGTCTCTTCCTGATGGTCGTGAGCTGGATCGCATTGATAACCCTCAGGTATTGTTCTTGTTTAGTAGCTGTCAACCAGATTACTATCCACTCTCCCGTCCATCAAGCTATTTCATGCTCATGCGTTCCCTGATATTACTGTGGCACAGTTCCTTTCCTGGGGAAGTACAAAACTACCAAGCAACATTATGAACTATGATATCTTAGCATATACAGTTTTTGGCGGAAATTTTAGCTGTAGCTATTTTTATTTCCTTTTTTTGAAGTTTCTTTAGTCAATCCTTGAATAATGTCTAACATGTATGCATTACAGATTTAATTATAAACATACTTATGTACATAAAGCCCCTGATTGTTTACTTCTTTTTTTTTCCATATTTTTGTTTTGATCTACAGTTCGAGGGCTACAAGTTTGATCCGCATGGAGAATATGTACGACGTTGGCTTCCTGAGCTTGCAAGGTTACCAACTCAATGGATACACCATCCATGGGATGCACCTGAATCTGTACTACAAGCTGCAGGGGTTGAACTTGGTTCCAACTACCCTCTCCCTATTGTAGAAATTGCTGCAGCTGTAGCCAGACTTCAAGAAGCTCTTGCTGAGATGTGGCAACTAGAGGCTGCATCAAGAGCTGCACTAGAGAATGGAACAGAGGAAGGCCTTGGTGACTCATCAGAACTACCCGTAATAGATTTTCCTCGGGAGGTATATATGGAAGTGGAGCAGGAACAATTAAGGATCAACAATTCCCCAGCTTCAGGCAGGAGACATCAAGATCAGATGGTTCCGAGCATGACCTCTTCACTGGTTAGAGTTGAAGAGGAGGAAGTTTCTACTAGTTCAGGAAATGCTGATGCTGATAGCAGAGCAGAAGTACCGTCACACACAACTTACGGTCTGCTGCCTCAAAGAGAACCCACTGATCAGGCTGGCATGCATACCGTCAGAGATAATGTAACTCAACATTTCAACCCAACCAGGTTGGAGATGCCTGAACATTCCATAGGGCCATCATCTGGTAGTTGGAGGGAAAGAGACAGTGGCGTTGTTCCTGTTTGGTCCCCTCCAACAACTTCTAGCTGCTCAGGGCTTTTAGCAACCGAGGATGGTGGGCATCCACATTCCCGCCAATTGATGAATTGGGGGCAGCTTTCACAGACAAGGTCACTCCAAACTCAGTTGTATAATACCATTTTACTAGAGATTTTTCACATTTTCTGTTATGCTTGAGTTTCTATGAGCTCCACATATCGTGCTGGTTGATTTGGCTGTTCTTCAACCTATATGACTTTTGTTCAGAATGACTAATCCCTCTGACCTCAAAAGTGCATCTTTATGCTTTTTTTTTTCTGGTCTTCTTAGTATGAGCTAACATCACTGAAGCAATTTGTCGACTCTGGCATACAAGTTTTTAACTAACCAGTCATTATGCAGTATATGCATACACCATTGTGGTTTTAAATGAGGATGAACTGTTCACATGCCAGTTGTTGGCATTTTATCCTTTGTAAAGTGTGGACTCGTATAAGGTTTATGTTTATTTAGGTATTTCTTATTCCTATGGGTTTGCTATTACTATCTTATTGATTGTTGACAACTCTTTATGTGGCAGGACGAGAAGTTGGGAGGTGGAAAACACTCTGCAGCCGAATGCCATTGGATAGGCTATGTAGTAAGACTACCTATGTAAATTGTCTATCGCTCCCCCTTTATAACTTGCATATGATCATCCTCGTATAGGAATGTTTAAATATGTGTTGACAGTTTAATCCTATAGTACTTATGTACCATTAAGATGTCGTGTAGCTATTTTTTAGAGTATTTCTCCTGCAAATATGTTTTTCTCTTCTCTCATGAACACGCGTGCATGTGCCTCGCTTTGCTGAACAGTGTCTCCGATGCATTATTCTTCGATCTGAGCACCAGTAAACGAGTTGAGCACTGGAATTGCCCTATTGTATGATCCGGAAATGATATATCAGGGTGATGTTCGAGATGATTGTCAACACAAGCCAAAAATGTTTCTTATTATTCCTGTGAAGGTTGTAGTTCTCACTCTGTCTCTGCTCAACTTGTTCTACAACACCTGAGGAATTCTTTTTTCTTGCCATGGATTCACCACATCAGTGGCACTTACCACAATTCCCTTGTTGAATGCTTTTTTGTCATACTTTTCATCTTTTTTGCATCTTCATATTATCTCTTTCTTTATGTTCATGTATTCTATATAACTGACCTCAAATAATTTGCATTATATTTGTTTCACTTGTTGACCTATTTAATATCATAGAATTTGTTAAAAAATATATAAATATATAGATAATATCTCATCTATTAACTTAAGTTTTTAGTTGTAATAATGATGTTGATGAAAAATTAAAAAAGCCTTACTTTTTTTTTTTCAAAAAAATGAGATAAAATAATTCCAAAAGATAAGTGCTTTATATTTCTTCTTCTTTTTATATTTCTGGAGTCATTTCTAATTCCTTTTCTGTCGATTCCATTGATGTTATCACTTAGTTGGCTTCTCGATAACGGTACACAGATCACGTGCATTTGCACGTGATAATTTTGTATCGCAAATCCTTCAACCCTCTTTAGGGTTTGTAGCGGTGGCGTCGCACCGCGGCATCGAACCGGAATTCCCAATCGAGGCCGACCGAAACCTGTTCGAGGAATTGCCACTAACAGCAATTACCCGACCCGCGAGAGCGCAAGGGTACAAATCACGCACAAATCCCGGCGCCGCCCATGAACTCGGTGGAAGGCAGTACCATCGTGTACAAACCCAGATATAAGGCTCAGCCTGTCACTCTCGAGACAGTAAACACGGTTCCCGCTCCACTAGAAGACGAAGGATTGCGTGGGTCCCGAACGTCCCTTGCGAGACGAGCGTAGGATTCCCCTGTATCCTGCGCGGTGGGCGCTCTCCACCCCTTGATGAGACCGGGGCTGATGTTCGCCACGAGAAGAGTGTGCGGTGGGCGTCACCACTCTGGCAAGAGAGAGAGAGAGAGAGAGAGAGAGAGAAAGGCGAAGCGAGCGAGAAAGAGGTCGGCGCAATCGTCTTTGCCGCCAATCATGTCGTCTGCTCCTCCTCCTCCTCCTCGCAATTAACCCTCGGCCACACGAAAATATAAGCCAAAACCTTCGGTCTCTTCCCGTTCCTTTCGTACCTTTTCCGATAATTATTATTTTTTCCTGTTATCGGAAAGAAGAATCGATCGATCGGTCTCCAGATCTAGGGTTCCTTATTGCCCTCTCTCTCTCTCTTTCTCCTTTTCTTCTCCGATCTCTACTTTATTCCGGTTCTTTGTTCTCCACTTCTGTTTGTGGGAATCGATTCCAACCATGAGCGCCGTGGGCGAGCAGGTGGCGGCAGCGGCAGCAGTAGCGGTGAAAGAGGCCGATAAAGAGAAGAGGCGGCGGCGGCGCCAGAACCGCCGCCCCAAGCAGAACTCGGCCTTCCTACCAGGTCGCCTTCTGTTTACCAGGGTTTTGATTTGATTTGCTTCGGTCAAGATTTGATCTAAAGATCGGCTTTGTCTTTGGTGTTTTGTGGGGAGGATGGGCAGATGGAGGGTGCGGGTCTGTGGACTCGGCGTGCGGGCGGCCAGAGATTTGGACTGGCATCATGGACGCCAGCCTAATCAGCGCGTCCGAAATTGCCTTCACTTCCCTGCCCGCTATGCACTTGAACGGTGACGTGGATGTGGCGGGGTTGAACTCCACATCGCCACCTGCCGGCGTGGTTGGCGGGGAAATCTCGAAATCGTGCCCCTTGCCAGCTTCCTCGTTTCCTGTAGATGAGGTCACTGTTGGTGTGGCAGCTCCTCCTCGCAATTCAAAGAAGTATTTTGATCCTCATTGGTCAGACCAGGCTGTTGAAGAGGCGATCGAGGTAATCAATATCCGTGGTTTTGTACGTACCGAGTAATCTCTCTCCCGCTTATTCTTATGTGTGTGTCTTTAATTTTGTAGAAAGGTCGCGCCTTTAAAGCAACATTTCGTGTGAATGCATACAACCGGCTTGAGGTGAAACACAAAGTTTGTCTTTGAAACGTATAAATTCTATTCTTGTTTGAATTCTTAGAGGGTAGTGGTTTCTTGGTTGCTGTAGGCCTACTGTACCATAGATGGTCTCCCCGTGGATGTTCTTATCAATGGAGTTGCTGCCCAAAATAGAGCGGTATGTGTGCTGTCCTGATCCTGCATGGATTCTCCACCATTTCTGCTTCTTTCTACAAAGAGTTGGTAGATCTATGGTACAGATTAAAAAATAGCCAATTTGACAATGTGTATATATCTGGTGAATATAATTGGGTTGGTTTTCTGAAAAATTTACAATATCTTCTACTTTATTATACTGTTCTATTGGAGTTATATGATATAGGCCATGTTTGTTTGGATTGTCAATAGCATTAATCAAAAGCACATAAGACAGTTAAAGACAAGGTTTAACGATGATTAGCATATTTGGTTACCCAAAACCTCATCTCTGTGCTATCAGAATCTTTGACTATCCCCTGATTCCATTATCAATCCTTTACTTTGATCTTTGCATTAGTTGCTGGATTCTTGATCGTGGAGATGGTTGTCCACTACATAAGTTTTGTTGGTTACATGATCTGTTGTAGCTATATGTGAGTGTTTTCTTGAAACAAAGTACATCTAATCTAAAATTCTAATTAACTAAAAGAAAGTTCATGTATGACTCATCCTTTATTTTTCTTAAGTTCGTGCAATGTGCTTAGGGAGCTGATAAATGCACAGGGATGTGTTGGCAACTTTGTCTTTCTTCAAGAACAACTTTATGTGTTTCTCTGCAAAGCAGAGGAAGAGGCTGTGAGTATTCATTTTGAGATGTATGCATTTTTGAAGATTCTTTTGCAGATATCACCAATATATTAGAAGTTTTAGGGATTTTGTGGTATCATTAGTTTCATATGCACAGGTATTCATTTATTGATGCAAGGTGTACTATCTTTACACAATGCACATAAATATTTATTTATGATACAGCGAAACTCTATGTGGATGTCACCTTGATGATTCATGTATATACTCTTGTTTGGTGTTTTTAATGATTTTGTAGATAGAAGGTGATATCGTTGCTGTAATGTTGGATCCTGTTGCATACTGGACGAAGTTGAGAGGATTAAGTATGCGTAGCAGTCCTGTTGCATCAGGTGGTTCAGATTTTCCAACTGAGACCAGTGAAGTGATTGACAAAAATGATGCCAAGAAAGAACAAGTTGATGCCAACTGCAAATCCTATACTCCTGGTAATGGCATGCACCCAATGAACAAGGGGTATCAAAATCATGAAAACAGTGGTTTTAGTGAAGCTGTTAGTAATGATATTGGAAATGGATCTGTGACATCTGATAACAGGAACAGCGGATGGAACTCCAAGTCTTCAACAGGTTCAACTAGAAATTGGGAATCTGAGCAGGGAGAAGCTGCAAGAGCTTTAGAGAGAATACGTGCAATGATAAGTTCTAACCAATCAAAACGACCTACTGGTAGAGTCTTGTCTATCATCAGGAACTCTCCTCGCCGTGGGGCAGTGATTGGTTTTCTTGCTTTGAAGCCATGGCTTCCTGGAGAGGAAGAAAAGAGCAACGGACAGTTGTCTAAGAAAAACAAGGAATCTGTATTTTCAGCTGGCTTGGACTACATACAGCTGGTACCTACAGATTCTAAATTCCCAAAGATGATAGTTTCTGTGAAAAGACTTCCAGATTGTGCAAAGGAAAGACTTAAGAATGGTGACATAATTGAAACTGAATTAGTTGCTGCTCAAATAGATGAGTGGAATGAAGAAAATATTTGCCCCAAAGCCCAAGTTGTTCATATATTGGGACGAGGCGGGGAAATTGAACCTCATATAAGTGCCATATTGTTTGAACATGCGATAAGTGTTGCAAACTTTACTCCTGAGTCATTGGCTTGTCTTCCAAATGTGCCATGGAAGGTTCCTGTGGGGGAATATAAAACTAGAAAGGATCTTAGAAACATTTGCACATTTACAATTGATCCTTCTTCTTCTAATGACTTGGATGATGCATTATCTGTTGAGAAAGTGTCTGATAAAATATTCCGAATTGGTGTTCACATTGCTGATGTTTCATGCTTTGTTCTCCCAGACACAGCCTTGGATGCTGAAGCCCAAGTTCGGTCAACCAGTGTATATATTTTACAACATAAACTGCCAATGTTGCCTCCAAGACTTTCTGAAGTGTGTTCCCTTTTGCCAGGTGTGGATAGGCTTGCCTTCTCGATTATTTGGGACATTAATGACTCTGGAAACATCATCCAGTGCTGGATTGGACGGTCTGTGATTTGTTCATGCTGCAAGCTATCATATGATTACGTGCAGGATATCATTGATGAAGGATTTGAGATTGATCAATTTGGTCTTTCTCGAAAACTGCATCCTGAATTGTGTGGGCAGTTTGAATTCAAGGATGTTATTCAATCTGTTAGAAGCCTTCATGAGATCTCTAAGAAGCAGAGGGAGATTAGATTTAAACAGGGAGCCCTTGGGCTCCAGAATCCTAAGCTTGTCTTCTTGTTTGATGAGAATGGGACTCCATATGATAGCTTTCTTGACGAGAGAAAACAGTCCTGTTCACTTGTTGAGGAATTTATGCTGTTGGCAAATAAATCAGTTGCAGAGGTTATATCCAGGGCTTTTCCTGATTGTGCTCTACTTCGGAGGCATCCTGAACCTAACCTAAGGAAACTTCAAGAGTTTGAAGCATTTTGTAGCAAACATGGTTTCGAGTTAGATGCTTCATCATCTGGCAAACTTCACCTATCACTATCTAAAATAAGAGAGAAACTAAAGG